AGAGAAGCTGTGGTATATTCGCACAATGGAATATTATGCTGCATTGAAAAACAAGGAACTCATGCAATATTATTCAAAATGGGTGATCCTGGAGGACATTATGCCGAGAGAGGTATCTCAGTCACAAAGGGACAAATGCTATATGGTGCCACTGTTGTAGAATGAGGCTGACATCGGGATAGGGGCAAGACTGAGGAAAACTGGATGAAATATGTTTACGGCATTGAAGTCTTTGGGGGAGAGAATATTTTCTATTTTAGGGCATTACGTTTATCGTAAGAGTAAGGAATGAGGCTTGCAGAGTGGATTATATTTGGGGTTGGGGGATGGGGGGGATTGGGTACCAAAAAGGGAGTTTTTCTTTTGCTTTTGAAGGAGAGGAGCAAAGAGGGTGGGGGACAGGGGGGATAGGCGGGGAGAAGGGTGCAACAATGAATGAATGGAATTCCAAAATCTCTGTAAATGTTCATTGAAATTTAAAATAAATAAAAAAAGAAAAACAAAAAAAAATAATGGACTGTTTAATACTATTTTTGTACTCAGTGCTTTAAACTCAATGTGTAATATAGTTTAATAGCACATATCAATTCAGATGATTAATTTTCTTAAAATATAAGTTTAAATACTATATTTACATATCTAAATTGTTTCAAATACACGAAACAATTTTCCACTAACTGAATCACTATTAGCTTTAAAGTAATTAAAATTAAACTAAAAATGCTCTTTTTGGTTTTGTTTTTTTTTTTTTTTCTGTGGCAATAACATCAAACTGTTCAATAACCTTATATGGTTAGTGTGTACCCTACTGGAAATTGTTGCTTTAAAAAGACAAAGTACTTCTACAGCATCTTCCTTTTCCCTACTAGATGTACTAATGGCTTCCTCACCCCCCCTTCCCATATCCTAGAACTGAAATACTGATGCAAGGATACCTTTGAACAGCAGCTTAAATGACATTTTACATTTTTAAAAAATCGTATTTCACCAAGGCACATCAACGCTAACTGTCAAAAGGACAAACAGCCTGAAATGTATTAAGTATTTTTGTATAAACACTGGATTGAGAAACACAGGATTTCTACTGACAAAGTGCTGTAACCAAGTTACTGCAAAACTGCAGCTTTCATATCAGTCCCCCCTCATCCTGTCACCCCGCCCTTCGCAAGCACACGAGCACCCATGCACGCACACATATACAAGGGCAGGCACGAAGGCAGGAGAGAAAGACAGTTTCCTTTCCCCCTTTCTCCATAAGCTAATGTTAGGACGTTTTTGAAGAACAAGCAAGCTGATTAGGCACTGGTGGTGATTTCCCATGCCCTTAGACTCCGCCCTTCTCCAGATCCAGGTGAGGCGAAATGGAAGGGGGTGGCGATGAATAGAAGCTGTTATTGTCAAGTCGGTTACTGTCCACTTCAGAAAGTCGCAGACTGTGTGTGCCCCAAAGCAAGGCAGATTCTTTGTAGGAATATGCAAAGCTTAGAAACAGCTAACAGGGAGAAATTTGTAGCGAAGATCTGTCAAAATCAAGGGCTAGGAAAGAGCGTTCACCATCCGGCAGGCACTTAATTTAGTTAGCGAATGAACGGGGCTGTTCTGAGGTGTTAGCTGCGGGATTTCCAAGATCCAATGAACACCAGGATGTCTGAGTTCTTGATTTGGGTTTTCCCTAAAAGTGTGATCACACAAAATACTGTTTTCCACCACAACGAAAATGGGCCCGAAACTCTTCACCACCCTGCATCCTCCACAGGTTTACTCCCACATTCTCTTTCTGGGTTTTGCCTCAAAAGTAGAGTGACGGGTGTGATCAGAGAGGTACTTTATTATCGAAAAATCCCAGGAACTAATCCCAGCCAACTTCCCAGAAGAGACACGAGTGTGAAAAACATCACAACTCACAACCTCACACTACTGTTAGCCCAGTGTTTTGTTTTGTTTAAAAAAAAAAAAAAAGCGAGCCTCAGAGCTTTCAAGGGCAGCCCTTCGCCGCGAGATGCATGCTAGGATGAGTAGTTCCTTCAACTCTCAAGGGGCGGGATCTAAATGGAACTTAGCTTACAGTAGGAAACTACAATCTCCATAGTGCTCTGCGACTGAGTGGACGTGGCCACGAGGGAGGGGGGCGCGTGGCGCCTGCGCAACTCAAAGGGCTGCAGGGAGGCGGAGGCGCAGCGTTCAACTGCTGGAGACTCTGCATGTGACAGTGATCTGGGTCGTTTCTGGAAGCGCCGCCAGATTCAGAATCCCGACCCTTAGCACTGTTCACTCTCCCTACCCCAGCTGACTCCAGCAGAACTGGAACACTTGGAATCTGGCTTTGCTTTTGCTGGGCACGGTGAGAAGAGTGAACTGCCCATTCTTGGTCAGGTGCCTGCGAGACCAGGCTGGGACCCCAGCCTGTGTTGAGCACCCCATCTGAGGGGAGGAGCGGCCATAGGAGTGCAGATTTCTGTCAGCACCAGGACCCGGAGCACGAAGACATGAACGGCTTCACCCCTGAGGAGATGAGCCGTGGCGGGGACGCTGCCGCCGCCGTGGCCGCCGTGGTAGCTGCTGCCGCAGCCGCCGCTTCAGCCGGGAATGGGGCCGGGGCGGGTGCCGGAGCTGAGGTGCCAGGCGCAGGGGCACTTTCGGCGGCCGGGCCCCCGGGAGCGGCGGGTCCTGGCCCGGGACAACTCTGCTGTCTGCGGGAGGATGGAGAGAGGTGCAACCGGGCAGCCGGGAACGCCAGCTTCAGCAAGAGAATTCAGAAGAGCATCTCCCAGAAGAAGGTGAAGATCGAACTGGACAAGAGCGTAAGTGACCGCAGGACTGCCCAGCGTTAGCCGCGGGGACGCCGGGTGTTGTGCAAAGATCCGGAGTTGTTGGATGCAGGGTGCACTCCATCGAGTTGGTAACAGTGTTGATCAGTTGTGGGATCGATCTTTAAGAAGCAACTAGCAAAAGTCACAGCCAACTCCGACGGGTACCCCAATGCACACAAACACGGACGGACACCCGCTCGCTGTGGGCCTCCCTCGCCCCCTCTGCGCGCTCATGAGCGCTCGCTTCCTCTTTCCTCCCTCGTCATAATCTGGAAATCAGACAAAGGGGATCGCCTCTCGGAGGGCCAGGAGGAGTTCTGCGTGCAGCCCCGCAGCAGCTCCTGGCATGGAGGCGCCTTTGTTTTGTTGCCAGCGCTAGTGCTCAGCCCCGGGGAGCAGTTCCCCTTGTCTTGGGAAAGTAGAGTCCTGCAGGACTTTGCAGCCCAGACAAGGCTGAGCCGTTTCATTCTTGGGCTGGAGCACCGTGGGGAGGAGGGCAGCCCCCTTGCAGGGAGCAGGGGAGGGAGCACGGCCGCTGAGTCAGCTGCTCTGAGTGTGCGGAGCATGCAGCCTCTGGTGGGCTGGGCAGCAGCCATCAGGATCTTTTCTCCATTCCTTTTTTTTTTTTTTTGCTTGTGTTGCCCTTGGCCACCTCAGAAACAGCCCTTGTCCCTTTTTTGGAGTGTTGGCTTGACTGTGTGTGTAAATAAACAAGACGCCAGAATCTAACGTATGTCCTTTAACTTTTGAAAACTGCACTTAGCTTAGTTTAAAATCTTTTTACTGTTAAAAATCTGGTCGCTTCCCTCCTATTTGTTTCTTTCAAGGGATGACTGTATATGAAGCCCCATTAGATTTCACATGTACAACTCTCAAGAGACATGACAAAGTTTTTGGAAAGTTAATTTATGCTTCTTTCCACCAGCTGAGATAATTCTGCCATCGTGTTCCTGAGAAACTTTTCAGGTGAATGGAATAATTGGTTGACTGCTTTATTTGGACAAAGCACATTATAGATAAATACAATTATTTCCATATTAAAGGAAACAGTAATGGAAATGTAAATATACTTGTACTATATAATGAAAAACATATTTATAAAAAATAGATAAAGCTTTTTGTGTCTGATATATAATTTGGACATTAAGTTAGGAATAAAAATTAAAAAGAGTGCATTTGTGCTATTAAAATATACTCTTATTTAAAAAAATATACTCTTATTTAGCTAAAGAAATTCTATCAAACAGATAATACGATTGTAGATAATATCATCTTTCCTCTTGTCAATTAAAAATCCAGCCTTAATTTGCTTATTCAGTCCATCCTGGTTGCAGTTTGCTGACACAAAACCCAGAGGGTGGAATTTCTTCTTCTCTACCTACCTTTCTTCACTGGCGCCTCTATTCTTCTGTCCTGTTAACAGTACAGTTAGTTTATATTATTGTAAATTACTAGCTATGCACTTAAGACATTTTGCACTGTTTTTGTATGCCTATGGTGAGTAATATGTACATACAGTGTTGCAGCTTGTAATTTACTCATGTTATCATTCTCAGACATTCCCTTGTAGAAGTTTGAAGACTGGATTCCTAAAGATACTAATACTAAAGCAATAATAATAAAAAATAGAGAGATTTGACTTTTAAAATTCTTTTTTCAGCAGATATGATTTACCGTAGAGTTGCTAGAAATGAAGCTCATTGTAAATAAGGGACTACTTGTATATCTAACAGGTTAAACAAACGACTTAAACATTGTTTTAACAACTGCTTGGCTTTTTCTCCAATATTATTTTAAATTTATTGTGGCTTATGTATTCACATTTGAGCAGCAGTCTGAAATTTTTCTGTTACAGGCAAGGCATCTTTACATTTGTGATTATCATAAAAACTTAATTCAGAGTGTTCGAAACAGAAGAAAGAGAAAGGGGAGTGATGATGATGGAGGTGACTCACCAGTACAAGATATTGATACTCCAGAGGTAGATGAAAGTTTTGTATGTTAAATGTAAATCCTAAGTATTCCATTCTGAAACTGTAATTAAGCTATATGAACAATATTTTTAAATGTTTAAAGCATTTGAGAAAAGGTGAAAATTAAAGCAAAACTGGATATATCCAGTTATACACAGTTAACATGCAGTTAACCTATTTTCAGTTGATAGTTCTTAAAGCTCTATTGTCTTTTAACTTCTTCTCCACAGTTTTTAAAGCATTTTGATAAGTTTTTTCTTTTTATTTATATTGGTTTGCATACAAAGTTATACATTGTGTTTCACACTTTTCTTCATTCATATTGTGTGTTATACAATCATTACTATACATTGTGTTTTATAAAAGTAACGATCATTGAACTCTGCCTACCATTGCCCTGTCTTTTCGGTCCTCACTGTATCTTTTCCATTTCCTTCACCCCCTCCCTCTGCCTGCCAAATTAAAAAGAAAAGAACTAAATTTGTATTGTGTTGAAATAGAAATATCTCTAATTAAACATACTAATGATAAGTTTTCAATTATTTATTGATTGATTTTTTCCCCCCTAGGTTGATTTATACCAATTACAAGTAAATACACTTAGGAGGTACAAAAGGCACTTCAAGCTGCCAACCAGACCAGGACTTAATAAAGCACAACTTGTTGAAGTATGTATGAATTTAAACTATTCAAACCTTAAATGTGATTGTAAACACCAGTTAGAGATAATTTATGCTAATTAAATTAGCGACATGAGGGATGTAATAATACATTTTCACCAGATAGATCAAAGTTAGCAGAATATCTGCCAGAAAAGTCTAGTCCAGAGATTTTCTCTGCTACTTACAGAATTCCTTCATGAATTGAGTACTCAGTGGATTGTGTGTCATTTTCTTTTCTTCCTCTAAAATGACTTTAAAAATATTGAATGACAATTTTTCTATCTCTGTTCTAGAAATTTTCCAATTTAAGAATTCTGTTCATTCAGTAAATATTTATTGAGCATCTAAATAGAGCAAAATAAAATAATCTACATTAGCACCTTCCTTAGGATTTATCTTTTGAAGTTTCTGGTAGAATAGGTCAAGAGATGAATTCCTAAATAATGTTCTATATCTTTCTAATTTAATTATTTCAGAATTTCTTTTTTTTTTCTGTTTTATTTCAGTATCAATGGGTTTTTTCATATCTAAAAGAGAAAAGAATTAAACTTTCAAATAAACGTATTTATAGTTTCATGTAAGAATTCTGTTGGATCTAGTCCTTTAGAGAGTTGGCTGAAAATGTGTTTTCTCAGAAAATACTAAAACCAAAATATTAAGATATTTATATATTTAAAGTTGAATTATATTTTTTAAAAAAAAATTTAACCTACCAAACAGAATAGAAATAAAGCTATATAAATTCATTTTCTTATATTCTTCAATTTGAATTTAATAGTTACCTAACATTTTCTAAAGTATATATATTAAATTGAAAGCATGATGTGTTGGTAGGATTTTTTAATTAGTATCATCCAGTGTACCAATTTAAGGTAGAATTCTTTTTTTCCAATTTATTATGTTGGTGGTGGTGGTGGTGGTTGCTTTGGAGTTGATTTCAAGTCATTGTAACCACATTTGTACAGATTAGAACTGCTCCATTAGAGTTATCTTATTTAGGCGAGGAAAAAAAGAATCCAGTTTTTCTCTAGAATAAATAAAATCTACAGTACATAAATATAGCGTAACTGTAGGTTTTATCTACCTTGATTAAACTATGCCATATACTAATTGATTGACTTATTGCATCTTTGATTTGCAACAAATTCAAACTAAAGAGCTGGTTATTTTTAATAATATATTTCAATAACCTCAACACACTGGCTGAACCAATGGGCTCAAACATAGCACTGATTTTGAGGATGGCATAGAACTGTACAGTTTTTCTTTGTTTACAAAGAGTCACTATGAGTTGGAACCAACTCAATGACGCCTAACAACAGCACAACACAGACACACAGAACCCACTGCAGTTGAGTTAATTTTGACAAATGACAACGCTCCACTGGTTTTTCCAAGACTATGACTCTATGGAACTCTATAACTCTATACCTTGTCCTTCTTCAGTCATCAACTATGGTTTTAGAACTTTTTATTTTTTTAATCCATTCCATTATTTTAGACCTGGCAACATGGCCAGGTAGGAATGTGTAAGTAAGGTAGATTTTTTTTTTTTTTTAATTTTTTTTGAGGTAGATTTTTGAAGCACCACTTGCCACCCTTTGCTCCCCTGTGGGGCCATGTCTGAGCTGGTAGCCATTTGTTTGGTACCTAACAATGGGGATATTCACTCTTTGTGGAGTTGGTAAAAGTTGGACCTGGCCTTTTCCATGCTGCCCTTGCCCCATATAATATTTATTAGGAAATGTTTTTCAAGGAATCTTAACTAGTAGAGTATTTCCATTGAATGAATGAATTTAAGTTGCAATAATGTATTTGTGAAATATGTTGTTTCTCTAATACCAAGAATAATTTCAACTTTATATTTATCCTTTCCTAGGAATAGAATCTAAAGTATTAAGATTCAGATAAACATTTCATTTCTTTCATTGATAGGCAATATTTGAAAGTGACAATACTTTCTTATTTAAATTCAAATCATAAAATTTAAAATAAAGGAAATCAGCTAAACACTATATATTTAGTGGAGCAAGGTAGGAATGCCCTTTGAAATCACACTATGTCTTATTTATAAAATCTTTAATATGCCTTCTATCCTGCTTGTATTTTGTTAAATACAATTCTTTCTTTAAAGATATAACTCTTACTATCACAACACTTTTTACTTTGATAAAATAAGATTTTCTTATTACCTAGTTGATGAAACCTATTCATATCTATTTTTGTTTGTTTGTTTGTTTTTCTTTATAGATAGTTGGTTGCCACTTTAGGTCTATTCCAGTGAATGAAAAAGACACCTTAACATATTTCATCTACTCGGTGAAGAATGACAAGAACAAATCAGATCTCAAGGTTGATAGTAGTGTTCACTAGAAGAGATCAAATTGAGAGTAAGACTTGATGTTCAGATACTATTTACTCTTTTTCACATGTAGAAATGTTTCTTGTGTATTTTTTCTACAGCGGATTTTCTCTGGCTTTATTTTCTTTGTTTCTGACTCTAATAATTAGCTGGAAACTCATGTAAAATGAGGTTTCCAAGATTAAAAATATTTTAAATAAAAGTTATTGCTATTATAGTTGACTCAGTATATTTATTTTGTGAAACTTTTTTTAAATTGAATTTTAGAGACTAATATTAACTGAAATTTTATTTTAAAAGTATTTTATTTTGTAATTTCCCCTTCCCCTCCCCCCTTTTTAACTAGAATAAATTAACAGAATAAAAAGAAGTAACCTGCAACACACTTATTTTCCTTGGAACACAAACTCATGTGGAATTGAGGATATCTTATATACTACTTTTTTTAATATGCTTTAAAGAGCCAGCAGATTTTTACACTGTATTACAACTTCTTAATTATTCCCTTTTTGGAATTTTTATTTCCTCGTGAAAAATTAGGAACAACAAATAGTTTTATTTTTATGCCCACCTCCTTACACTGAAGACGTTGTGCTAGCAAAGATAGTTGCTTTAAATTGTCTTGTAGAAAAGACACTTATATATAGTATTAATATAGAATACACTTCTGTATTACCCCTTTAATTTTGATCATGTCTTATCCTGCTTATATTGCAGTACAAAAATAATAAAATTAAATCTAAACATCAACCAAAACCTTCATTTGAATTTTGGTCATACATAGCTCTCACTTGACTTCCATTGAGTTTTCCTTTTTATTTTTTTTTAAAGTATTAATTCTTTTTTTTTCTAATTTTTTTAAATTTTATGATTTTGTCTGTGTGTACGGTCAAATCAGATCTGACTGGTACAGAAGGAGATTGTCCCTCCTTCTCCAGTAGAGAGCATCTGGTGGATTTGAACTGCGAGCCTCTGGGATTGCAGTGCAGCTTCTTGCCAGTAGGCCACCAGAGCTCCCCTGAGTTTCCCTTTTATGTTTCATTCTCTGTCAGTTTTCTAGTAAACATTTAATTTCTGCTTTTTCTCTGACTATTTTATTTAACCAAATTCTTTTAGCAATGAATCAAAAATACCGCTTGCAATGTGGAAAAGGGAAAAAAACACCCAGCTTCACTGAAATATTTTAGGATTCTCTTTTTAAATTTTAGGGTTAAAATAAATGAGATCATTATTAAAGTTCACTCAAAGTTGGCCAACTGACTGGAAGAGATCTATATTTGTTCCCATTCCAAAGAAGGGTGACCCAACTGAGTGTGGAAACTACAGAACAATATC